CAGTCTTTGGCTATGTGCAGGAAGATCTAGCAGACCTTCAAGCCTGCCTTGCTAAGTAACATTCACTTCACGCAAACGCCAAGCTATGACCACCTCAAACAGGAGAGAAACTAACCATCTCCCCTTGACATTTAATGGCATTATGATCACCGAATCTCCCAATGTCAACATCCTAGGGAGTTACCATTGACCAGGAACTCAATTGGTCTGGCCATATAAACAGTGACTACAAGAGCAGGTCAGAGGCTAAGAATATTACAGCAAGTAGCCATCTCCTGGATTGAGGAGCTCACCAAAACTCCATTGACAGAACCCACACCTTCTACTGTCTAGAAGAATAAGAACACGGGAACACCACCCCCTGCAAGTTCCCCTCCAAGCCACTCCCCATCCTGACTTGGAAATAGATCACCGTTCCTTCACCGTCACTGGGTCAAAATGCTGGAATTCCCACCCTAAGGGCATTGTGGGTCAATCTACAGCACATGGATTGCAGTGGTTCAAGAAGGCAGCTCACCCCCACCTTCTTGAGAGGCAACTAGGGACGGGCAACACACAGGATAGTGGGCATAGCCAGTGATGCCCACGTCCTGCGAATGAATGAATAACTCAATGATTATTGTTGTAGATCTGATGACTGAGTCAGGACCAGTACCTCTGTTCCTCCAAGCCCAAAAGCAGTGTTATCCAAAGCCCCTATCTGCATTAGGTGACAGTCCCTGCCATTCTTTTGCTGGCCAGCTTTCTTTGAGGCATTACAAATAGTCAAACAAGGAAGAAGAGGCGGCCATCCGGCCGGTCGAGTGATATTTTTAACCCGCTGCCAGCATATCAGGTACAATAATAGACTCACCTCTTCAGAGAGGTCTCTGAGTCTGTTTAAATCCATTGTAATTAAAATGTGACCAGTGGGAGTTTATGGCGGATTGGAGTTCGGTTTCAAAAGATTTGCCAATTCAGTCCTCCCTTGTTGTGAGGTCTGAGGGAAGGCAAGAGGTTCAAATCCCATCCCCCTCCTTCCCTCGTATCTTTGGAAAGGGATAGAGAGAAGGATTGATGGCACTGAGTCATACAGCACAGAAACAGACCCTTTGGTCCAACCAGTCTATGCTGACCATGGTCCCAAACTAAACTAGTCCCACCTGCCTGCACTTGGTGCTTATCCCTCCAAACCTTTCCTATCCATGTACTTATCCAAATGTCTTTTAAACATTGTAACTGTATCTGCATCCACCACTTTCTCTGCCAGTTCATTCCACACAAACCACTCTCTGTGTAAAAAGGTTGCCCCTCATGTATCTTTTTTCTCCTAGTTGCCCCCTAGTTTTGCACTCCCCTACCTGGGGAAAAGACCCTTGTCATTCACTTTATCTATGCCCTTCATGATTTTATAAACCTCAATAAGGTCACCCCTCAACCTCCTATGCTCCAGTGAAAATATTCACCATCTATTTTTAGATCTCAAACCCTCCATTTCTGGAAACATTCTGATAAATCTTTTCTGAACCCTCTCCAGTTTAATAATATCCTTCCTATAGCAGAGCGGCCAGAACTGCACACAGTGCTCCAGAAGAGACCTCACCAATGTCTTGTACAACCTCAACTTGACATCCCAACTCCTATGCTCAAAGGTCTGAGTAATGAAGACAAGTGTGCTAAACACTTTCTTAACCATTCTGTCTGTATGTGACGCAAATTTCAAAGAATTATGTACCTCAACCCCTTGGTCTCTCTGTTCTACAAAGGCCCCTATTAATTGCACAAGTCCTGCCCTTGTTTGTTTTACCAAAATGCAAAACCTCACATTTATCCAAATTAAACTCCATCTGCCACTCCTCAGTCCACTGACCCAATTGATCAAGATCTCTTTGTAATCTTAGATAACCTTCTTCACTGACCACTACAGAACTAATCTTGCAAACTAAATTACTATGCCTCCTATATTCTAATCCAAATTGTTTATATAAATAACAAACAAAAGTGGATAAGGTGCGCTGTCCAGTGAGGGAGCAGCACTGTGAAAACGAGTTGAAAGAGTTGTGAGGTGTTATAATTGTCCGACACTAAGTTGTTTTGAGGTACTGATTAAATCTTCAGTGTGGGCACTTCTGAGGTAATAAGGTTTACTAAGTGAGTCACCAGGTATCAATTAACTATCAGAAGCCCAATGAGGTGCCAAATTAGTACTAGGTACTTGGAATGAGAAGTAAATCCTGGGTAAAATACAAAAACAGAATATAAAGATAAAAACAGAGAATTTGGGAAATACGTGTCATCTACAGAGTTAAAGTTTCAGGTCAATGAATAGCTTGTCCTCAGAAAACCGGCCCGAAACATTAACTCTCTCTTTTCTGCCTCTGTCTACACCTGCTGAACGTTTCCAGCACTTACGGCTTTTAATTATTAAAGAAAATTAAAGCGGGGTCACCATGCAAATGCCCCCAGCGAGAGTTGGAACCAATGTCTTGGCACAATGACGGGCAACAATCTGATTCTTGGTACAGCTGGCACAGGCTAAGCCAACATTTCAGTGAAATAAGGCAAACCAGTGCCATGATAAACACACGTTCAGGAATGTCAAGAGATCATCGGAGAGCCAGGGAAACAGCGAGACCAGCCTCAATGAGAACAAAGGATGAAGGAAAGAACATCGATCATTGAAAGGAGATGTGCTAGAAAGTTGATCATCACAGCAACACTGCTCAACACTGACTTGCTAGCTACTATAATGTCACGTGTACAGGGACTAGAGTGTCGGAGTAAGGATGTCTTGCTGCAGTTAGGACATTCTTGCTAAAGAGGGAGTCCAGCAAAGGTTCACCACACTGATTCCCGGGATGGCAGGACTGACATGGGAAGAAAGACTGGATCGACTGGGCTTGTACTCGCTGGAATTTAGAAAATGAGAGGGGGGATCTCATAGAAACATATGAAATCCTGATGGGACTGGACAGGCTAGATGCGGGAAGAATGTTCCCGATGTTGGGGAAGTCCAGAACAAAGTGTACCAGTCTAAGAATACGGGGTAAGCCATTCAGGACTGAGATGAGGAGGAATTTCATCACCCAGAGAGTTGTGAATCTGTGGAATTCTCTCCCACAGTTGCCTGTTGGGGCCAGTATATTAGATATATTCAAAAGTCACACAACACCAGGTTACAATCCAACAGGTTTATATATTCAAGAGGGAGCTGGACATGACCCATGCGACTAACAGGATCAAGGGGTATGGAGAGAAAGCGGGAGTGGGGTACTGAGATTGTATGATCAGCCATGATCGTAGTAAATGGTGATGCAGGCTCGAAGGGCAGAATGGCCTACTCCTGCACCTTTTTTCTATGTTTCTATGTACGTGACAGCACATTGAGTGTACCCACCTTGAATTTGGGAATATGCTTCTACAGAACTGCACATTGTGGAGAGACCACCCACACTCACAGCAAATATCCCTAACAGAGAGGATGTGTACTGAGTGTGACATTTTGTACATTATCCCAAAGATGGAAACTCAGATTTAGGCATCAATCTCTCAGATTGTTGTGGTACCCAAAGGGTTTCCATGATATCATGGCTGGTTAAAATCACTGAGCGGCGTTGTTTTATGTTTGATGGGATCAAATGTTGAAAGTTAGCCTTGTTAGGTCCAACATGTGACCAGATAACCTTTTTACAACCTGAAGCCAAACAGTATTTGGACCAGTCTGGCCAACGACAATTTTGAAATCATAGAAAACAACTCATAAGAATGAATAGATCAAAAGAAAATGGATTTTCTTAGGATCATAGAATCCCTACAGTATGGAAGCATGCCAATAGGGTCCACACTGAAGAGCATCCCACCCAGACTGCCCCCCACCCCGTACCCTTTTACCCAGCATTTCCCATGGCCAATCCACCTAACCTACACACCTTTGGACTGCGGGAGGAAACTGGAGCACCTGGAGGAAACTCGCACAGGGATTTTTTAAAGCACACAATAACAAAACAAAAAGTTAGATTGAAGGAAAGGAGAGAACAGGAATAGAGACTATGCACTGATGATGACGAGTTCTTTTTAAAAAAAAGTGCAATCTAAATGGGAAAGTTTTGTATAATTTTTATTGTTTTAATAAAACAGCCCTGTTAATTACAGCACTTTATGTAAATCCCTAATTGTAGAGCAGTCAGCCATCAAAGTGTGCGATGAATGCTTGCTCGTATGTTAGGTTCTATCATTCAATTTGAAACAGATTAGATATTTCCTTTATTCCTTCACAGGATGAGGGTGTCACTGGCCAGGCCAGCATTTATTGCCCAGAGGGCAGTTTAGAACTAACCACATTGCTGCAGGTCTGGAGTCACATGTAGGCCAGACCAGGTAGGGAAAGCAGTTTCCTTCCCTAAAGGACATTAGTGAACCAGATGGTTTTTTTTCCCCCAACAATTGACTCACAGTCATCATTAGACTCTTAATTCCAGATATTTTATTGAATTTAAACTCCAGCATCTGAACCTGGATCCCCAGGACATAGTCTGGGTCTCTAGATTAACAGTCTAGTGATAATACCACTAGGCCATCACCTCCTCTATTTGCTGAAGGGACTACGGCTCTCTTAAAATATCTGTGGCTCGGATCAAGCAAAGACTAAAACAAAAAATACTTCCTGGTCACATCAGACAGGAAGGGTTCTCTATTAAACATATTTTAGCTGTGGATTTTACTGAAGACAACACAAACTGTTAATATCGAAACAGATCTCATGGTCAAAAACACAAGGTGGTTATTACTATTCGAAATCTAAAATTAGCCTGTAGATAAATTCTTGAAATAGCATCAAAATACTTAGCCAGGGGCACCCCATTAGCTACGCACATTACAGAATCAATATAGGCTGCAAATGCTGATGACTTAAAACCAGTAGTAATGACTTAAAACCGAGAACATGACGGAAAATATTGCAAATCGAGTCGCATACACTCTTGAAGCAATTGACAGAATTAGAAGAAGATGAATTTACCAACCTCAGCTTGCTTTCGCCACATATCAATGTTCTTGCGTTGAGCTTTTGTAAAATGGTCCCAAGCCTTTTGCTTCGAGGCAGCCTTGAATACTGCAACAATCTGCTCAACTTTGGTGAACAAGGAAGTCAAACAAAACAACCAGTTTATGCTTTGATCAGGAACGAAGAAAGAACAAAGCAGAGACAGACAGGGGTGGTCGCTGTGCTGACTTAACCGATACTAAAGGCACTCCATCACTGTTGAGGCAAAAGCATGGCAACTTCAGTGACAGAATAACACAGATTACCAATGATGTGGTGCCTTTAATTGGTGCCAGAGAGTGTCTCTGTTGTACTTACAGTACGCCAACTGGAGATGGGCTAACCTCATGCCTCACTGTCTCCATCACATTTCCAGTCCAAAATCATTCACCCCTTTGTGAACTGACACAAACTGATGGAGGAAATAAAAATCCCTGGATGGGGTCTGAAATTTTATCATTGAAGTGGAGACCTTTGCATCTGTTTATGTGCCCAGTGGTTCAGTTTAGTTTGCAAATGTGCTCCTCGTGGAAGGGGAGATGGAAGAGATATAGAGGCAGACTTCACAACTACCATGTGCAGGGGGGTGGGGTGGGGGGGGGGGGCGCGGTGGCACAATGATTTTTTTACTGGATGTGCTGCAAACCGCATATAATGTCATAAATTCCACCCTCTCCTCCCAACCCTCACTCGCCAATTGGTGGTAAAGCTGTGGACAGAAAAGACACACACATCTAGATCCAAAGGTTCCAGGTGGTGGTCAGGGAGGTTAGAAAGAACGTAGTTGTCCTTGCTGTTCCAGGCCCAGACTTTCTGTCCTTGCACTATCCAGTCTTCCCCACAATAAAGGCTAGTTGCTGTTCATCGCTGGGAGGGGAAGGGGGGATCAGTGGAGGAGGTGGGAGGATGGATTAAGGCCACAAATCAGATCAGTCAAAATATTGTTGCTGGGGAGAGTAGGCTCACCAGGGTGAGTAGTCAGTTTAACACGGATGGGACATCGCCCTCTCACTCTCCCTGCCCCTTTCTGTCCGTAATGACCGAGGCTGGGAGAAAGACAAATGCAAGGCATTTCCAGGAGGACGTGGGATGTTGAATGGCCAGCGAGAGCCGGGCAAGAACTTGTCAATGTAGACCCTCTTCCCCCAACCCGCAAAAAAAAGGGAGTGTGATAGCCTCCCAAATCCTGGTCTCGATTATTGAGCTGATTCACTGTCACCAGTCTATCTGAGCAGCCCAACTATTTTACCCCCACTCCTTCCAGCCCAGAACCCAGTAACACACTGTGACTGTTAAGCACATGTGCTGGATCCAACCAACTCATCAGATTGGCCAATATTTTCTTTTGGAAAGACATTTGCAAACAAAACAAAACCATTGACAGTTAGAGACATATAACATGCTGAAAAAAAGAATCTGATTTCCTTGTAAATTGTTAAATTAATCTTCAGACTTTCCTTTTGCCTCTATCTGCACAGCACAGAGGTAGATTTAGAATTAGTATTGGATTTGTTGTCACATGTACTCAAGTACAGGGATACAGGAGTACAGTGAAAAGTGTACAAAGTGGCCATAATCTGGCTCCATCTTAGGTTCAAAGGTACTTGGTTACAAAATAGGCCTTCAGTATTTATACTACAGTGAAACCTCCTCCCACAATCCTCATCATCTCATCCTTCCAGCAAAATCTTCTATTCCCTTTTGTCCTCCTGTGTTTATCTATCTACCTGCCAATTGTATCTCCACTATTAGCTTCAAACATTTCATGTTGTGCTGAGACCTCCCCACTCTCTCAGTTAAGAACGTGTTTCTCAATCCTCCATTTGCTTTGTGAGTGGCCCTCTCTATATTCATAGACCCCTGGTTTGCAGCTCAGCTCCTATTTTGCAACTGGTGAGAATTATTCATCAAGGTAATTTTCTTCACTACGTGAGAGGGCTCAGCGATTAATAAGCTTCAGCTTTTTTTAATTTTTTTATGCCACTTGTATTTAGATTGAGTTCCTAACAAGTCGAATTTGATTAGTTATAAATGAAAACAAGAATGGTATGGCAAACCATCATAACGATGATTGAAGGGATCAAAGTGGGGAATGAGAAAATAATTCTAATCATTAATTTCCAATTCCTTTCAAACAATTCAGCCGAGATCAACTTGTGGGTTATGTATCATATTAATCTTTTGTATTTTTAAATATAGTTAATGTCCCGAATGGTGAAAGACACCATTTGGATATTACAGATAAAAATAAATAGGGCCAACCATAACATAAGGCAACGTCCTTTTTAAGTCTACGCGCTTAATAGCTGTACTGATCTTCACTGGGATAATGCCACCAGATATTTAAAGAAAAAAATGATTTTTTTTCTCTTGTTTGTTAACCTTGCGTAATCTGGTGGTGTGGGGGAGGGATGTTCGGACTTTGGAAGGCTAGAATGAGTTGGGAATCATATGTAACATCTGCCTGTATTTCCAATAAATGGCCCCGATGTTGGCGTACTAGCCTGTTCTAAGTATGCGGGCTTCACCCATTACCCCATCAGGAAAGCTACCATCTGCCTATAATGTAGCTATCCCACGCAATATGTTTTATATGATGCAGCTAAGCCCATTTGGTCAAATATAAAGGCGGAGGTCAGTTTGCTGTGTATTATATACTCAGTGCCCTACAAAATACCTTCTGACTGAAAAGACAAAGTGAAAGGTTTCCTACCTGAATATCTAGTCCTGTCAAGATGGGCCCATGTTCTAGAACTTTCAGCACGAGTACTTACCCCAGTACTTTAACAGAGTTGAGAGAGGGCCAATAAACAAATCGCACTTACATCCAGTCAGGATCCGCGCTAAAGCGTTTTTGAATCGCTCTTTGGCGTCTTCCATCTCTTGTTCGTGCGCTGCCTTTTCGCTCATCAGCCTGCGACTGTGACTGTTGGCGGACTGGATCATGGAGTAGAAATTGTTGGCCGAGCGACGGGTCACCTCTCCCCGTTCAAACCAGGCCAGCAGCACCGAGATGGCTTCCGAGAACTTGCTGTCATCTGCAAGGGAACATGTACATGTGAGGCTGCGAGGCAGGACCTGCCCTGGCTTGACTCAGCTCTTCGCAAGTCAAAGATCGTAGTAATCCCTGCAGTATGGGAGCAGGCCATTTGGCCCATCGAATCCATACCGACCCTCCGAACAGCATCCCACCCCAACCCTGCATTTCCCATGGCTAACCCACCTAGCCTGCGCATCCCTGAACACTACGAGCAATTTAGCATGGCTAATCCACCCTAACCTGCACATCTTCGGACTGTGGGAGGAAACCCATGCAGACACATGGAGAATCTGCAAACTCAAGGGTGGGATCGAACCCGGGTCCCTGGCGCTGTGAGGGTACTGTGCAATTAGGCTCTTACCGGTCAAGCCATTGCAATGCAGAATGCACCAGTTCAACGATGACTGACTGTTAACTGCCAAGCTTTGTTTAAACTTAAACCAGGCAGATTGACTTCGATTAGTCAAGTGTTACGTTTATAAAGACATAACACGTCCTTTCCATCTGCAATGCTAACCACTGAGCCACTGTGTCACCCTGCGTATGAGCACAGAAGATGGCTAGCAGCTTTGGGGAACTCACAGAGAAGATGTCCATCTCCCACTGGGGCAGTGCCAGCAGAGACAACCATTAACAAGGAAAAGAAATTGGATGGGCACAATACGGCAACAAACTTGCAGGGCTATGAGGGTACAGCGTGGTGAATGGGTACAATTCCTCTGCAGACAGCCAGTATAGAACTGATAGGCTGAATGGCCTTTGTCTGTGCTAGGACGATCCGATCATTTGTTTAAAAACATGGCGTCCCATTGTTAAAATAATGTGACGTGTGTGGGATCACGTTTGCTTGTAGCACCAGTGAATTCTCCAATCCACCGCCATTGGCTACACTCCTTGTTCCCGTACGTCAGTTTGGACCAATTGCAAACCTCACTCTCTCCACACGAGCAATGTGATTGGAATCTCACTGCCATTTGTCAAACACGAATATAACTGAGAAGGTGCTGAAAGAAAAGATGTTTTGTTGAAGTTTTCCGTTTTCAGGGTACATGCAAAATGCTGAGGGAAATTTTATTCTATAAGCAAAAATTGTCACAACTGATAGACAAATTAGGCCCTTGCTAGTCAAGGCATTGTCATGGAGAATGCACCAGTTCGCTTATGTTAACTGCCAAGCTTTGTTTAAATTTAAACCAGGTAGGTCAAGGCAAATGAACATGCTTTGTTACATTTATAAAGACACGACACGCCCTTTCCACCTACAACTCTGCCTGCTGCTGAGGATAAGATGAAAAACATCAACAAAATCTGAGACAAGGTGCAGGGCTGGATGAACACAGCAGGCCAAGCAGCATCATAGGAGCAGGGAGGCTGACGTTTCGGGCCTAGACCCTTCACCAGAAAAGCTACCAAGACTCAAGTTCTGCACTGACAGACAACTACAGGAGAAAACATTGAACAAGGAAATGCTACTCAGTGGGTAAAACCACTTTTCTGTGAATAATGGCCCACATGCTTCATTCCCTTTTATAACATTTCAAGAAAGGGCTTATATATTCCCAAAAGGAGCAGGATTCCACTTTGAAGGCTCAGCTATCTAGGCTATTTGTTTCAGCCACAGTCGTTATTTCCCCTGGCACCACATTCCCAAGGTCCCCGTGGTTCAAAAAGCCCACTGAGTTCCAGAGAATATTCAATTATCTCTTGCTGTGTTTATCTTCATAACTGTTAACTTGGTTTCTGAATAGACTTTCACCCAGATGTTCGTTGAGGCAGCAATAATTGCATATTGCAGGGAGTTTATTCCTTAGGCCTGCAGCTTGTGGGAAAATAGGGAGCGAATCTCAAGACTGCTTTATGGATTATCCTTTTAAATCCTGTATCCTACCAGATCAGCACTCTCGGTTTATCCTTACCACTTGAGAACCTCTTGGATATCAACCTCGAGATTTTCAAATCATTGGAAGAGCTTATGGAGGAGACTAATCTCTGTTTTTTGTGCCATTTTATGAATGATGAGGAGAGATACAGATCTGAACAGAGCTCCACTAATCAATGAAAACCGAAAGATTCGCTTATCTCAGACAGAAGCACTTTCTGAGGAAGGGTCACTCAACCCGAAACGTTAACTCGGATTTCGCTCCACAGAAGTTGCCAGACCTACTGAGTTTTTCCAGCAGCTTCTGTTTTTGTTCCACACATCTTGCTCCCGGCCAGAGCACATTCCATTTGTTATGTCGGTTTTTACTTGCCTGGAAATTTCATATCATTTAGTACCATTTCAGCAAATGGGAGGACTTTTGTCTCTGATTGAATTTCTACCCCTTTCTGTTACAGTGCTTTTACTGGTAATGGCCAGGTCCATTCTGATGTGCCTGTTAGATATGTGATATGTGTACCTTACGTTTAAGAGGGCCCACCTTTAAGGACTCCATGTGCTGTGTGCATACAATGTTGTGACTCTGCCTGACAGTTGGCCTGCTCTGTGTCTGAAAGCTACACACACATACAAATCAGTTGGCTTGCTGTAATGTCTGCTTTATAACTTAGAATGTGCTTTACTGTTTTACATCAACTAAACCTCAAAGTTAATCAACCCCTGATGAGCGATGGGTCACTAGACCACCACAGAAGGCAGGATCATCATCACTCTAGTACTTGCACCATTCCCACCTTATGGGAGGGCCAGAGGCAGCTAGGCCCTATATTTGTTTATTCATTCATGGGATATGGGCATCACTGGCCAGGCCAGTATTTATTGCCTATTCCCTAAGTGCCCAGAGGCCAGCTAAGAGTCAATGATGTTGCCGTGGGTCTGGAGTCACGTGTAGGCCAGACCAGATAAGGATGATAGATTTCCTTCCCTAAGGGGGATTAGTGAACCAGATGGGTTATTCCAACAGTCGACAACAGTTGCATGGTCATCAGTAGATTCTTAATTCCAGATTCTTTATTGAATTCAAATTTCACCATCTACTGTATTGGGATTTGAACCCAGGTCCTAGAACATCAGCTGAGTTTCCTGGATTAATAGTCTAGTGATAATACTACAAGGCCCTTCCCCATGTATAAAGCTTCTTTAATTGCCATCCAAGGGACTTGGAGTGTGGTAATATGTTACACAGAGTGACCGAAAGGTGAAATGAGATAGTAGGAACTGCAGATGCTGGAGAATCCGAGACAACAAGGTGCAGAGCTGGGTGAAACGAGACTGGTTAAGCTACACCTCCATGTACCACACCCTGACCACCATCGCCCCCAACGAAGCAACAGGATGCTGCCCTGAAACCCTACTGACTGACGTTCTTGCTATCCAAATCACCTCAGGGTTTCGGATGGGTCAACACAAGGACAAACAGATAACTAAATCTTCACCCACCCACCACCCCCAGTTACTCCACAGTAATTCCTCAGTGAGGTTCCAGGAAAGAAAAATTACTCTCCACTACAAGGCCCGTTTTAATTGAATTCATTTTCATAGAATCCCTACATTGTGGAAAAAGGCCCTTTGGCCCAACAATTCCACACTGACCCTTACAGCATCCCACCCAGACCCATTCCCCTAATCTACACATCCCTGAACACTACGGGACAATTTAGCATGGCCAATTCACCTAGCCTGCACATCTTTGGACTGTGGGAGGAAACCCACACAGATACAGGGAGAATGTGCAAACTTCACACAGATGGTCAACCAAGGGTGGAATTGAACCCGGGTCCCTGGTGCTGTGAGGCAGCAGTGCTAACCACTGAGCCACAGTGCTGCCCCTTGTAGAAACATTACAGTGTGGAAACAGGCCATTCGACCCAACAAGTCCCCACTGCCCCTCCAAAGCGCATCCCACCCAGACCTATTCCCCTACCCCTACGTTCATACTGAAGTTGGTATTTTGACAAATCTTAAACAATCTTACCATGTGCCTACTTGAATCCTTCTCGAATGCTCCCTGTTGATATTATCTCCTGGACCACTCTAATATCAAATACAGCCACTTCCTCAAAACAGCTCCCCTAGAAAGAAACGGGACTGTGTTCCTTCGCTATACACTGAAATAAAGTCCCATCTTGTAAAATTCTCAGATTATTGCTGGCTAATCAATATCAGGCGCCTGCACGATTACACTTGATTCCGCACTAAACTCCTAAAAGAAGGAACATTAAGATAAGATAAGAAATTAAGATAATATTTGCCATTGTCAGTCCTCGTGCACAGTCTCTGTGTTAAGCAATCTCTGAAATTAAAGCTACCCTGTTGTCATTTCTTGAGTGCTAGAAGGTGCATGACCTGTCGACATTTTAGGGCTGACTTTGTCAGGATTCAGTGATTAATTTTGTTTCCCAACGCTGTGCCAATTTCCCGGCAGGGCCTTTGATTTCTGAGCTGCAGACGTCTTACTGCATTCTCTGTCATTCCATCACCATAATGTCAGTTGACTCTCCCCAGCTTTCATCTCAAATGCTGCTCAGATGCTCATCTATATCTCAGGAACCTCTAGACTCATCCTTCCTGACAGGCCTCCTTTTTCCAAGCATTGACTTTCCAGAGATTTCCTCCAGGGTTACTTTTCTTTTCTCGGAGACTCCTTTGTCATTCCGACTAATGTGATGGGGTCACATAGGAACAATACCTTCTGCTGACCTACAGGGTAATGGAACTCACACAGAAACAGAACTCAAAGCATTCACTGGTATCCTTAATGATGATGAAGTCTCCATTAAACTTAAAGCCTCTATGCACAAGGAAGACATTCATTTCTTAGACACGACAGCATTTCAATTGTTACAAAACAAATGGGCATAATTTAGCGACAAAAGGCTATTTTTGTCCACACACACACACACACACACACACACACACACACACAAACTAAATACGCCTTTCGCAAACCAGTGAGCTCTCGGCTAATGCACTCCCCTCACATTTGATTTGATTTGATTTGTAGTCACATGTATTTATTACAAATACACCGAAAATTGTTGGCACTCATTAGCGCCATC